AGGAGGAGGAGGAGGAGGAGGAGGAGAAGGAGAAGAATGAGGAGAAGGAGGAGGAGGAGGAGGAGGAGGAGGAGGAGGAGGGAGGAGGAGGAGAGGAGGATGAGACGGAGGGAGGACATGGGACATGGAGGAGGAGGGGGACGGAGGAGGAGGCGCAGGGAACAGAGGAGGTCCGACGGGCCCCCCCGAGGTTCTCAAGGCGGAGGACGTCGTCGCCCTCCGGGTCGCGCGGAGGGGCAGTGCGGCCCGGGCGATGGCCTCCCCCGAGAGTACCGAGGACGGCGCCAGGGTGCAGGGGTACTTCTCGTTCGGTCCCGCTCCTCTTGCCCCCCCCCTCTCCTCCTCTCTCCTCCTCCTCCTCCTGATCCTCACTCCTCCTCCTCCTCCTCCGTCCTCCTCTCTCCTCCTCTCTCCTCCTCCTCCTCTCCTCCTCCTCCTCCTCCCCCTCCCCCTCCTCCTCCTCCCCCATCCCCTTCCCCCTCCCCCCGTCCCCCTCACCTTCCCCCTCCTCCCCCTCCTCCTTCCCTCCTCCTCCTCCTCCTCCTCCTCCTCCTCCTCCTCCTCCTCCTCCTCCTCCTCCTCCTCCTCCTCCTCCTCCTCCTCCTCCTCTCTGGAGTATCGAGACTGGTAAGGCGGCGGGTTGCGCACAGGAGGAAAAAACACACGGGTCCGAACATTGGCGTTGACTAAACGGCCCTGGGCGTTTACTAAACAGCCCTGCCCTGTTGGTTCCCTTCTCTGGGTGCGTTTTCGAAACGGCCTCGCGTGCTGGGGTGGTTATTTTCGGGGTCGATTCTCTGCCCTCTGCACAGACAGCACCGCCGGGCAGTCCTGGCTGGCCCTAGCTAGCTCCCCGAGCAGTCCCAGCTGCCCTAAACAGGCCCCCAGAGCAGCCAGGGGCGGTCTCAGCACCCTGGCGCCGCCTCCGGCGGCGCCCCTGGGACGCTCCGCGCCCCGGGGTCGGTGTGTCGAGAGTCCGCCCAGTCTGGGCGCAACCCGACGCCGCACCAGTCGAAGTGGGTACGGGAGGAGTGGTGGCAAGGGCCGACTCGACTGCCGTTCCTGCCCGTCCTGAACAGGACTCGCTGTCGGCGTCGCCGCGGCGCCGCGGACGTTGTCCATGTGAGACCGAGGGGCGCCTTCCCAGCTGCGGCCGCGGTCGCCTTTCGGCAACATCTGCTGCTGGGCATCCTACCCATTTCGGGCGTACCACTTTTCTTGACTTGTTCTTGTCGTCTTCTCACGCGTGTTCTGCCTCCTCCTTCTTTTCTCCTCCTCCGCCTCCTTCTTTTCTCCTCCTCTTCCTCCTCCTCCTCGCCATCCCCCTCCTCCCCCTCCTCCCCCTCCCCTTCCTGCTGTTGTCGCCCCCTCTAAGTTTGCATCCTCCTTCTACTTCTCCTCCTCATCTTGGGCAGCAGCACCCTAATCACCGTCACGATCCTGATCCTTGTGTGCTTTCTGTCCCGCCTCATTCTTCCCCCCCTCTTCTTGCTTCTCCTCGTCCCGCTGCCGGAGCTGCGAGAGGAAAGTAGGAAGGAACAGGAGAGGCATGACGAGACAACTTCAAGCAGGGGAGGGAGGCTATTCATGATGATGATGTTGTTGCTGATGATGTTAATGATGTTGCTAAAGGAACCGATTATAGTGCTGGCGTCGATGGTGATGATGATGGTGATGATGGTGATTATGCTGATGCCGATGATGATGTTGTTGTTGATGACGATGATGCTGATAATACCGATGATGTTGCTGATGATAATGATGATGATGGTGCTGATAATGGTGATGGTGATGGTGGTGGTGATGTTGGTGATGATGATGCTGATGGTGGCGGTGAGCATGATGATAATGACGACGATGATGATGATGACCATGTCGATGACGATGACGATGCTGATGACGATGGCGGTGGTGGCAGTGGTTTTGATGACGGTCATGCTGCGGAGGATGATGATGTTGCTGTTGATGATGATGCTGCTGATTAGGATGGTGTCGACGATGGCGGTGATGATGATTACGAACATGATCATGAGGATGAGGGTGATGCTGCTGATGATAATGAGGACACAGAAGATGATAATGATTATGATCAACATGACGATGACGACGATGATGACTACACTGATGATATTGATGCATATTGTTTTCATGGCGATGGTAATGGTGTTGCTGATGCTGATGCTGATGCTGATGCTGATGCTGCTGATGATGATGCTGGTCAGTCTGATGATGTAGGTGAGGGTGATGGGGCGAATGCGGATGATGATGTGTGATGATTCTAAAGATGATGATTATGATGCTGATGCTGACGATGATGCTGATGATGATGCTAATGCTGATGATGATGATGATGCTGATGTGGATGATGATGATGCTGATGATGATGATGATGATGATGATGATGATGATGGTGATGGTGATGCTGATGATGGTCGTGATGTTGATGAAGATGCTTGTGGGGACCCGTTAAGCAGCCACAGGGTGAGCATGCGGAGCACCATGATCATGATGAGCAGGACCATCACGGAACGAATACGAGGAGGATCTTTGAGGAGGAGGAGAGGGAGAAGGAGTGGAGAAGGAGGATACGGAGGCACGGGGCGAGGATTAAGAGGGAGGAGCGTGTGTGTGTGTGTGTGCGCATGTGTGTATGTGGGGTGGGGAAGGGGGTAGAGATCAGGCAACAGATGAAAACAGCGGACCGAGAAAACGCAATCCGTATATATATATATACACGCATACATGTGTTAAGATGAATGTACCTATGCATCTACACGTAAAGAGGAACGGGCGTCAGAAGCATTGCGCATATACATGTATGTGTATGTAGTTGTATGTAGGTATGCATGTGTATATACGTGTGTACGTATGTACATCTGCATGTATGCATGCATGCACGCATGCATGTCTGTATGTATGCATGTTTCGCATCCGTATACATTTGTATATACACATATATATATATATATATATAGAGAGAGAGAGAGAGACATGGATACAAGACTGCATTGGCGCTTCGCGCCATGCACCTTGGTCCTTGAGGCTTAGCTTATGTTGGTCGTTCGCGACATCCCTAGCGGCCTTGGACATTTGGCCCCTTCCCTGCGGCGTTTTTTTCGGAAGTCTTCGAACGTTCAGCGGTCCGTGGTCCTTCCTGGACCTCCCGGGGCTTCCGAAAGGCGCTGGGTGGAGGGCGAAGGATGGAGGGAATCTCGGGGAGCGAGGAGAGGGAAGCGGATGTGGGGGAGGACGAGTGGTGGAGCGTCAGAAAGAGGAGGAGGAGAAGGATGAGGAGGAGGAGGAGCAAAAGGAGGAGGAGAGGAGGAGGAGAAGGAGAAGGAGAAGGAGGAGGAGGAGCAGGAGGGAAAGGAATGGCGCCGTCGGGCGACGGCGGAGAATTTCAGGTGCGCCGCACCGACGAGCGCTGCCCAGAAGCCGACGGGTACGGTTTCATGTGTACGTGCACGCTTGCAGTAATGTCTGGCAGTGAATGACGACGAAAGGCCTCCGTAGGCTCGCACATTGGCCCGCTCGCGACTCAGGTGCCCCTGTGTTCAAATGAGAAGACTTTGATCGGCTACAAGTAGGTAAGTAGTGCAAGGTTCGCCCCGTAGTTTGTCCGCCGCGCGGCGCTAGTGGGTAAGTCATCCAGGTTCATGCCGTCGTTCGTCGCGGCTACCACTTGACCTGAGGCGCGCCGCTCGTCGTTCCTCGAAGTCAACAACTCGGGGCGTGTGGTTTCCGTATCACCCGGGCCATTGGGCCCCAGCGCCCCCTAGTCTCTGGATTGGCCGCCACCGCCGAACCCGATGCGTGCGAAGTGCACCTAGTGTTCGGGGCCGCCGCCGCCGCGAGTTCGCGGCAGTGCATCGCGCCGAGATGCGCCGAGTTCGCCCGCCGCCGAAAGCCGAGAGTGGCGCCAGTTGTGTGCGTGTTTGCGTTCGGCCCCACGGATCTGCGTGAGGGGTGCCACCGAATTTCAAGACTGAGGCGAACCCCTTCTGTGTTTTCGGAAACTGACCCCACTGATCTGCGTGAGGGGTGCCACCAGATTTCAGAAATGTGGCAACTCCCACGTGTTTTTGGGCATTGCCCCCACGGATCTGCGTGAGGCGTGCTACCGCATTTCAGAAATGTAGCAAATCTCCGGTGTTTTTTGGACCCTGGCCATGCGGATTGGCGTTGCGTGAGGGGTGCCACCGCGTTAAAGTAAACAAATGTGGCGAATCCTTTTTGTGTTTTTTTGGACCCTGTCCATACGGATCTGCGTGGGGGGTGCCACCGAATTTCAGAAATGTAGCAAATCCCTTTTGTTTTAGGACCCTGACTTTACGGATTTGCGTGAGGGGCGTTACTGGATCTCATGAGTGTGGCAAATCTTCTGTGTTTTTAGATCCTGACCCTATGGAATTGTGTGCGGGTGGCCACCAGATTCAGACATGTGGCATTTTTTATGTTTTTGGACCCTGACCCTGCGGATCTGCGTGGCGGGTGCCAACTCCCCCCCCCCTGAAATTCTGAGAACCCTCCCAGGGCGTGGTAGTTTTGCTGGTTTGGGCTCCACCCCCCTCGCGCGTTCATCAACAAGGAACAGTAAGCAGCAAGAAGCATAACTGTAGCAGTGGAAACTGGAAGCTGCAAGTGGTACAGGGAGCAGCGCACTCCCGGCCTACAGCCTGGTGGCCCCGCAAGGGGGCCAGCGGATTTCCATGCGAATTCTCCTGTGAAGAAGTACAATGCGAGCCCTTTCTGTTGAGGATTTCAAGAGCAATCCTTTTGTGGACTGTTCCAATCGGAATCCTTACGTGAAGGGCTGAAACAAAATTCTTGATGTGGAGGATTTCAACTGTAAGCTTCGTGTCGAGGGTTTCACATGGAATCCTCACGTGGAGGGTTTTAATATGAATCCTTATGCATCGGCGGAGGGTTTCAATAGCAATCTGTCTGTCAAGGATTCCTATGGCAATCCCAGTTGTGGAAGGATAGTGGGATTCCTTCTGCGGCGGATGTCGATAAGAATCTTCGGTCGACGAATTTAGTGGGAACCGTGATGTGCAGGAACCGTGATGTGCAGGATGTAATGGACGATTTCACTAGGAATCAATATGTGGAGGATGTAGATTGGAATCCTCACGTTGGCGGTTTCAGTTCGAATAATTTTGTAGAGATGTTATCTATGGCTCCTTTTGCGGAAGGGTAAAAAGGTAACCTTTTCTCGGAGGACGTCATCATGAACCGTTTTCCGTAGGAATCCTCCTGTGGAGGTTTCGAATTGGCATCCGTTACTGGAGGCATTCAATGCGAATCTTTCTGTGGACGATTTCAGAAGGAATCCTTCTGTGGAGGGTTTCAATATTTTTGTAGGGGTTTCACCAGGAATCTTCGGCATGGAAGGCCCATATGAATCCTTATGTATAGGATTGCAGTCAAGAAAAACCCGTTGGCAGATTATTTCAATAGGAATCTTTGTGTGGAGGATTTCGCTCGGAACTTTTTTGGTGAAGGATTTTCATGAGAACCCTTCTGTTGATGATTCCAAAGGGAATCCCTCTGCGGAGGGATTTGTTTGAATCCTTCGGTGGCAGGTTTCAATAGGAATCTTGCCGTAGAAGATTCCAACATAATCTTCCTGGCGGAGAATGTCCACGGGAATTCTTAAGTGGAGGGCGTCAATGCAAACCCTTCTGCGAAGAATTTCAATGCGAATGCTGATGTGGAGGATTTGTGTAGGAATCCCATTGCGGTCGGAAGCGCTGTCGGCGATTACGTGCCAGATTATGGCAGACGAGAGCAGACGAGAGCAGACGAAGGCAGACGATAGCAGACGATAACAGACGACGACGACCACCACCTCGGCGACGACGACGATTGACGGCACAATATTGACAGATGAATTTGGTTAGGAACGGGACGACAACAATGGAGACGGCATGTGGCAGGAGGACGGCGACCAGGAGACGCATCAACACGAGCAGCTGCGGCGCCGGCCGCATGAGCAACAGCGACAGCGGTAGCGACAGCAGGCGTGACAACAGAGCAGGACTGTAACGACGATAAAAGGGGGAGGAGGAGGATCAGGACGATGATGATGATGATGATGATTGTGATGACGATATTGCTGATGATGATTATGATGATGATGGTGACGATGATGATCATCGTGATGATGATGATCCTGATGATATGATGATGATGATGATGATGATGATGATGATGATGGTAGGCATGATGATTGTGATGATTGTGATGATGGTGATGCTGATCATGATGCCGATGTTGATGATCATGCTTATGCTGGTGCTGGTGCTGGTGCCGATGATGATGATGATGATGACGACGATGATGATGCTGATGATGATAATGATTATTATTATGATGATGATGATGATGATGATGATGATGATGCTGATGATGATGATGATGACGATGACGACGATGATGATGATGATGATGATGATGATGATGATGATGATGATGATGATGATGATGATGATGCTGCTGCTGCTGCTGCTGCTGCTGATGATGATGATGATGATGATGATGATGATGATGATGATGATGATGATGATGATGACGACAACCGTGACGATGACGACGATGCCGATAACGATCACGATGACGATGACGATGGCGATGGCAATGATGATGATGCTGATGATCGTGCTACTGCTAATGACGATGCCCATGGTCCGGACGACGACGGGAACGACGACGACCACCACCACGGCGACGACGACGACGACGGCGACGACGACGACGACGACGACGAGGACGACGACGGCGACCTCGGCGGAGCGACGGCGGCGACGACGGCGAGCACGGCCTTCGGCGGCGGCGGCGGCGGCAGCGGCCGCCCCCCCGCGGGGCAGGACGCGCCCGCGAGGGCGGGGCGCGCAGGGCCCGCGGCCGCCGCGCGGGGCGCCAGGGCGGACGCCGCCGCGGCGCGGGAGGCGCGCGCGCCCTCTCTGGATGTCAAGCAGTGGCGAAGCGTCCTGGCGCCTGGCATCGCTCAGACGTGTGCATTTTTTTCTCGGCGAGGACCATCGAGGAGCATCCTTGATCATTTGGCGAAAAGACCACGCACGAAACCGAACAAAAAACACAGTGAATGGACGTCCGAGCGATGGCCAGGGCGTGCCGACAGGCCCACCGGAGAGTGTTCTGAGAACCTCTCGTGGTCTTCAGCAGCCATTCGTGGAACATGTAGAGGTAGTGGTAGTCGTAGTAGTAGTAGTCGTAGTAGTAGTAGTCGCAGTAGTAGTAGTAGCAGTAATAGTAGTAGTAGTAGTAGTAGTAGTAGTAGTAGTAGTAGTAGTAGTAGTAGTAGCAGCAGTAGTAGTAATAGTAGCAGTGGTAATAGTAGTAGTAATAGTAATACTAGTCGTAGTAGTAGTAGTAGTCGTAGTAGTAGTAGTAGTAGTAGTAGTAGTAGTAGTAGTAGTAGTAGTAGTAGTAGTAGTAGTAGTAGTAGTAGTAGTAGTAGTCGTAGTAGTAGTAGTA